GAAAACTGTAGGTGCTGGCTGAAAAGGGAACTTTGCATTTTGGCCGAAAACGGTGACTACCCTATGTACGGACAGCAATCGGGATAGGTAAAAGAGTTACTTTATTCCACAATCAGGCTTCACCCGACGGAATCGTCAAATAACATCATCGTTCGAACTTCTCGCCGCTCTTATTACGCAGTGTGGCAACCAGTCCGCGAGGCAGGGCTTCGCCAAGTCCAAGTCCGGCTAAGTCGTTTCCGGCCACCTAAATCTCTGGCTTTTCCGTACTTTCAAGTTGAGCAGACCGTGCGTGACTCGTGTCCGGCCGTTCTTTTAATGCCGTTTTAGAGACGTGTTCGCTGCCGTTGCGACCACCTCGTGGTGCGTATCATAGGCGTGCGCAGACATCTGAGTGAGGTATGGCTAAATTCAATCTGATCACCCACCACCTTGTCATGGTCAAGCCCGGATTAAGGGGGGGCCAGGGGGGGCCAAGTCCCCGGGGCCCACGTGTGTAAAGGGCCCATAGTCTTCTCGGCTTATAATTACATCGAGTGATAATTTTCACTTTTTATAGTACCTACAAGAATATTTTTATTTTTAATTTTTTTTCTTGTTTGAACTAACATGCGATGGGGCCCGTCGACCGTGTTTACCACTTATAGCATGGTAAGTGGGGACACATAGCGTCATAGCCAGGTTTGTGTGTATAAGGAATAGGCATATATTTCGTTATCACTGTTTTTAAAAATAGAATTGGGGAAATTTGTTCATGACGTGACCGTCTCGGTCGTGGATACTCAGAATTCAGATACCTACCGACTAAACTGTCTATTATCTTTATAGTTTATTAGTCACAACATAATATTATTTCTTTCGTATGTAATGTTATTGTTGATGTGTAGTCGTAAAGACGAACAGTTGATGTTTAATGTTTTATAGTTCGTTTTTAATTATTTTTATTAATACGTAATTGGCGTTTACATTATGTCAGCTGCAAGTAAAAAATATTTAAGTGGTAGCCAAAAAAGAAAATTGAGAAAAGAAAATCAAGACAAAATACAAAAGTTACCAAAAATCGATACATTTTGTGTTAATTCGTCAGCTGGTTCTAAGAAAGGTATTATATAAAAAATATATTTAATTAACTATTGTTAACTATTAGGTATACCATTATTAAGTATATAAATTAAATATATACCTCGATAAAAACAATTATGTATTTTATAGATGTATCTCAAAATTCTGAAATACAGAAAATAACAGATTTACCAATTAAATCGGCAGTAATTAAAATTGATAATGATGAACAGCAAATTCATAACTCTAGTACAGGTAATAAAATACGTCATAACATATTTAAATTTTTAGTATTATTATTTTACAATATTGTTAGTGTTTAATATCTGAAATTCAGGTAGATAATTGTACAGTTAAACAAATAACCATTTTCAATGTAAATTTATAATTCTATGAAAAAAGTAGAACATTTTTAAATGAAATTATTGATTCAAAATTAACATGCTTATTTATTTATAGATGTATCTCAAAATTCTGAAATACAGAAAATAACAGATTTACCAATTAAATCGGCAGTAATTAAAATTGATAATGATGAACAGCAAATTCATAACTCTATTACAGGTAATAAAATACGTCATAACATGTTTAAATTTTTAGTATTATTATTTTACAATATTGTTAGTGTTTAATATCTGAGATTCAGGTAGATAATTGTACAGTTAAACAAATAACCATTTTCAATGTAAATTTTTAATTCTATGAAAAAAGTAGAACATTTTTAAATGAAATTATTGATTCAAAATTAACATGATTATGAAATTTATAGATGTATCTCAAGATTCTGAAATAAATAATTCAAATGTTGCAAAGGGTGTATTAGTTCAGTCAGCAGTGATGTATATGCACTACAAGGATTCCTTTTACTGGCCAAGCATAATTGATGACAACTTTATATCCTATTGTATTGAAAAGGGACCAGAATTTTTTCAAAATGATAATTGTTCATTTGAAAAGTCAGCTAGAAAGAAAGGTGATTGGTGAATATAGAAAAGTTTAATAAATATTATATTAGTTTAAAATATAAATTATTATATTTATTATGATTAGTATTTCTTTGACTTAAACATTAATTATTATATTACTATTGTTAATTATTTTTATATTTTAGGAAATGATCACACAAGGCATCTATCACTAACTTCTTTTCAAAGAAAGTTATCAAATGGCGAGAAATGTAAACGACAATGGTTAATGTATTCTCCTAGTCAAGGTGTTGTATATTGTTTTATGTGCATGCTTTTTGGAAGTGACCATCAAAAGAACCAAAGTCCCTTTGTAGGTACTGGATTTTCAAATTGGAAAAAATCAAATAAAATTGAACTTCATGAAAACAGTCTTGAACATCAAAGTGCTACAACAAAATGGTTAGTACGATCAAATACAAAAACATCTGTTAATAAAGAAATGTGTAGACAAATTTTAGTTGAAAGGGATTCAAATATTTAAGCGTATAACAACTGTTATTAAGTTTCTGGCTATAAGAGGATTACCTTTAAGAGGAGATCATGAAATTTTTGGAGTCAACAACAATGGAAATTATTTAGGCTTATTAGAGCTTATTGCTAATTTTGATCCATTTTTAAAAACACACATTGAGTTATATGGTAATAAGGGGAAAGGTAATCCATCATATATGTCAAAAACCATCTGTAATGAAGTTATAAACATAATGAAAAATGATTTAGTTAACTTTATAGTAGAAGAAGTTAAGCAGGTAAAATACTTCTCTATAATTATGGACTCTACCCCAGATCTTTCAAAAATTGATCAAATGGCTATAGTACTCAGATATTGTATTTCATCTAAAGTTTATGAGCGATTGTTTCATCTAACACCAGTAACTAGTCATAAAGGAGAGTTCATTTTTAATATCTTAAGTGAATTTCTGAAAAATACTGGACTTGATATAAAAAATGTTCGTGGTCAATCCTATGACAACGCCTCCAACATGAGTGGCATATATGAAGGACTTCAGGCACACGTTAAAAATCAAAACTCTTTAGCTGTATATATTCCATGTACAGCCCACTCGTTAAATTTAGTGGGTGTACATAGTGTAGACTGCTGTGAAGAAGCTGTAAATTTTTTTAGTTTTTTGCAAATGCTATATAATTTTTTCAGTGGCTCTACTCACAGATGGTCAATCTTAACCAATTCATTAGAGAAAAGGATAAAGAAAGGTTGTTATTTTTAAAGTCTTTAAGTGACACAAGATGGGCATGCCATTCTGAGGCTTGCCGTGCAATCACTATTAATTATAAAACTATATTAACTGTACTTTTTGAAATATCTGATAGCAAAAATAAAATGGGAATACAAAATATAATGCAAAGGTGTTGTTCAAGAAAATGTTGAAAAAAGAAACGGGCTATTTGTGTCTATTTTTGAATGACATATTACAACATTGTAATAAAGTATCTATTGATTTACAAAGCAAAAGCAATGATATTTTAAAAGCTGTGAATTTGTTGAAAAGTTTAAAAAATGTTGTTTCAAGTTTAAGGGATTCAAACATGGTTTATGAACGTAGGGTTGGAGAGTTTTGCTCCCAAATAAGTATCATATATAAAGATGAAAATAAAAGAAAAATTATAAAAAAATTTCCTGATGGTAACAATAAAACTTTAACTGCCCTTAGTGGTATTGATAAATTTCGGGTTGAAACACATCATGTTATAGTTGATAAATTTTGCTCAGAACTGGACAAAAGAATAAATGCATATAATGTAGTGGTTGAAAATTTTTTATTCTTAACTAGACTACATGTTGAGTCTACTATTGATGTTGAGAAACGTGTTAACAAATTCATTAGTGTATATAAAGATGATGTTGATGATTCAATAAAGTATGAAATAGTACATTTCAAGCAGTTTTGGGATCAGTTAAAACCAACATTTGATGGAAGTGATGTACTCAAGATATTTGAATGGATGAGTGAATGTAATGTTATTAATATTTTCCCCAACATTCATATTGCTTTAAGAATATATCTTACCATTCCTGTTGCTAATTGTACTGCTGAGAGAGCATTTTCGAAGTTGGCCAGAATTAAAAATAAAAATAGATCTTCTCAAACACAAGATAATTTGTCATCATTAATGATTTTATCAACAGAAAATGATGTTCTTCAAAATTTAAGCTTTGATAAAACATTAGAAATATATAATCAAAAAGCTAGAAAAAAAACTTTTACTTAAACAATACTTAATTTTATTTGTAAATATGTATTTAAAAAAAAAATTATGTATTCGTATTATTCGTTATTATGTATTCTCATTAATTATCATATATTATCATTTATTATTATTATTATCATGTTTAAATAAAAAGGTTTAAATTTGTTTTATTGTATGCCTACTTTTATAATTTTAAAGAATTGTTTTTATTGATGGGGGGCCCACAACTGTGTATTGGCCCCTGGGCCCCTGAAGGTCTTAATCCGGGCTTGGTCATGGTCACACAAGAAAACAATTATAGACATTTTCCCTACAAACTTTTAAGTGAACCTTTTGTTGGTGACTGGAAAAATTCATCAATATATTGATTTAAAATTTTTACCCAAATATAATCTAATAATAAAACAATCTATTCAAAAACGTTCAAAATACATAATATTATATAATATTAAAAATTGTCAATTAACATTAATATTTATTTATTATTATAAATTATTCATGGGAAATCGATCAGCGGAGACTAAATAACGAAAAACCATTATTACCTTGTAAATTGCCTCGACGTCTGCTCAATTTCTTATCAAACCAATCAATTTGTTTTGTGTTTTCTGTAATCGGTGGATAAATAGCTTTGTTTTTTTCCAAATGGCCAGCTAAGTGTTTCCGCCCAATGTTCAAAGTGCTGCTTTATATTCAAACCGCTTGCTAGTATGGATGTTCCAATCGGTTGACTGCGTAAGCATTCATTCCAACCTTGGTCTATTGCTTTATTATCTTTATGCTTAATGTAGATATTTGATGTAATTGTGTAGAATCAGTGTTGCCAGCATTATGATAATCTACATCATGTTGTAGTGCAACCCAATCCAAGCAATTATCAGGCAAATGATTAAAATTACTTTTGTTATCTTCATCAACAACACGATTACCTGGTCCAACAAATTGTGTTTGTGGCAATGTTATACCTCCATTTTTGTAATTACCATTTTTCTTTTTTTGATACTCTTCTCGAATTTGATTATAAGATTCTTCTGTTATATACGTCCCAGCTAGTTCCATGTTGAAACAATACTAAATGATAACAAAACATTTGATAGACAAGCAAAGACAAAACATATGATTACTGATAATACTGGCGGCGCGTAGACCGCGAGCTGGATGCTTGCTCAAATATTATTGAAAATAATATTTTATCTACTACATATACTACCACATACTGACCTTGGGAGTAACCAACCGTCGGTGCCCAATTATCAATTATCTTTTGATTCTATCAAGGTTTTAATAGAGTTATTAATATTTTAAGTTATATAAATCAGAAATATTAATATAATATGTTCATTTTACTAAAAAATAATAAGTAAATTCAATGTGGGGGGGGGGGGGGGTGAGGGGTTAATAAAGCTAATTAGCCATCTATCATAGGTTTTCCAATGTTGCTACCCTATAGTTTTATTCCAAATGACGCCCCTGTGGCCTGTATATTTTGACTTCACAACTGAATATTCTCTTATTTTACCAGAAAAAAAGTCAACTGTGACAGGTGCCATTGACCCGTATAATTCCATTATCTGGTTATTCATGTAAATGATTTTTGTAGCCACTACTTTCATGCCTAAATCTTGAAATCTCTATCCATCGGTTATCTATTACATGGCCGATATACAAAGCTAGAACTCAGCCCAAGCGATTGTTCGTATTTATCATGTTTTAATCTTAACATTTTATGGTCACGCATAGTCAAGATGGCCACTGGCGTAACTCCTGATTTATGTGTTGTGAATCCAAGTATAGGATAAAAATATTATCTTAGATAAATGTCGTCTACTGTGCAAAGAATTGTTGCTTTTAAATTTGATGACATTCTAAAATATTTTAATATTATAAAAAAAATATAAATAATTATACATTTCTTACATCTTTTGAGTCGATCACGACCTACTTACGAGGGAACTTACATTAAATGTTCAGATCTTAGATATAAAATAATATTTTTTATTGATATCTAGCTAATATCATTAATATAATCAATACTAATACCAATCTATAATAGCTAAATATAATGTGGTAGTTGACTTGAACAATGTTCTTAATTTATAAAAATTTAAAATACTAAAACTAGACTAAGACTTAGACAAATATTATCCCCTGAGCGATAATTGTTTCATTTAAATTTGATGACATTTTAAAATATTTTAATATAATAAAAAAAAAATTTTCCTAAACAGTTCAAAACAAATCAAAACATTTTTTTAAAATTGTAATCGTGTATAGAAAATGCAAACATAAAATACCAGTGAATGTGTCTTGTATATAATATGTTCAATTTTTTTAAAGTTTCACCAAAAACCAAAATTGATTTTGTCAAAAGAATTTGATGCCACAGAGAATGGACGTCGCATGATTCTTCACTAAATTAAAAAAACAATTGAACTTGCAATAGTATATAAAATTGTGTATTTAAAAAATTAAAAATTGATGAATTAAAATAAATAAATGTTTTAAGTAATAAGTAAATTAAATGTGGGGGGGGGGGTTGAGAGGTTGATAAAGCTAATTAGCTATCTATCATAGGTTTTCCAATGTTGCTACCCTATGGTTTTATTCCAAATGACGCCCCTGTTGCCACAGGCAGTTGACTTGGCGAGCCTGAACAGTCAAAGTTTTCGTTTCATCATACAAAGTTTAATACCTACGTATAGGCTCTTTTCTTGCATAATATTTCCGCGTAACACCTTAATTTTTTTTTTATTTTTGTTTAATTTTATACCATGACGATTACTTTGCCTCACTAAGAAAAACTCTTGGTTATAGGCAGGACCGTATTTGAGGGGGGGGGGCAACGGGTCAACCCGGGCGGAACATTTTTGATACATTTAGGTGGCGGTCAGATGGCGGTTATTTTGTTAATAATTTGTTTGAGTACCTACTTGGAATTTTCGCATTGCATATGAATATATGATATGGCCATACATTGTCATTAATTAAAAATACATAGGCACAATTTTTTTGGATTCTGAACTGAGCGATGAATATATTAATTTAAAAATGATGTGTTTTTTTTTGTGGCTGTCAAAACCGTTTGTTTGGGACAGTAAAACGGATTCGATTTTCTTCAACATTATATTGTTTGATGGGAAAGTGAATGTAGTTGGTGCATTCAGGAGGTAATAATTTAGAATTCCCAACAGTCATTAATCGCCGTAAAAAGACAACATAAAAATTGAGGAAAAATGGAAATTTTTACGTAAAATCAGTTTTTGACAAAATCAATGATGGTTTTTGGTATAACTCTACAACAAATGACTGTATATACACGTCGCTTACAATTTGTAAATAACAAAAAAAAACCAATGGTAACTAATAACGGTGACCTATAAAATATCCGAAAATAGGGATTTTAGGGATTAACCCCCCTACCCCCTCCCAATAATTTTAGTCTGCTGATTTAGATTCTGCATACGCTAAACAATACTTCTGGCTCCGCCTATTAAGTATATGCTTATTACTTTATTCATTAGGTACCTATACGAATAAAATACAAGTTTTAACATTAATATGATAATATGTAATTAATTGCATTGATATTAGGGAATAATAAATAAAACAATACTTAGTCGACCAACTAGTTATTTCAAAACAAAAAACATTTAGATTTTACCTTTTTCACAGTGGACTTTTTATCTTTTGGACTTTTTTATCGTTGACTTTTTATACTTCAGACTTTTTGGTACTATACCGTACTTGTACTTGGTACTTCTGCATTTTAAATAACTATAACTATTCACTTTCAATCATGAAAAATATAGGTAAATTGGTTTCCTTTAATATTATCGTCAATATTAAACATGATTAGATATAAGTATATAACCATACTTGTGACAGTAATGTTTTTATTTTACAAATGCTTCGTATAAATAAATCGATTTTGTCTTTTAAATACCAAATTTATGAAATTTTTTTACAATTGAACCAGTTGCATCAATTATTAGTTTTTTAGTTTCTGTACTATTACAATATACTCTATACAAATGTATTTGTTCTGTGCAATGGTAATGTATAAAAAATGGGTCACATCCTACATCATGTATAACATTTTGAAATTCATTATCGTCAAAGATATTTTATTTCACAGGCCTAAATATTTCATTATGTTTAAACTTTGTGCGAAGATAACTAAATGTTGGCTAATGTTTAATTTTACTAATAATGTTATTTTGTCGTTAAAGATATTTGACATTTATCATTTTACCTTTAAAAAAAATTAAAATATTTTCACTTTAAATTACTTAAATTTCAAAGTATGTTTATCATAAAGGAAAACACCTAATGACTTGACATTATAATTTCAAATAATTAGTAAGTGAAAATTAAAATAAAAGTAGGTAAGTAGGTAAATTATAAAACAGTATTTTATATTATTTTCTCCTTTTATTTTTATTATATTTTTTATTTTTCCTGTTAAAAACACTCCTAAAACTATACCGGTTAAACAAAATGTTTCATTAAAATAGGTCATAAATCATGCACATTTTAACCATCATGACTCAAGATGGCTAAAATTAAAAAAAATATTTTAACAAACAATATTGCAACTGCGAAGGGAGAGGGTGAAGTATGAATAAAGTATGAATAACATGAACAAAAAAATTTAAGCTTGATTAATTATTGTAAATACAATTTGCTTAGATAAATATCATTTACTTTTATTAAAATACCAATATACGATTATGTACGCTTACTCTATGGGTACCTATAGGTTTTAACAATACTAATTATAAATTTAGTCATTAGTAGGTAATTTTTAATTTTGTAATTTAATAATTTAGTTTGTTTTTAGTGGTTTTTCAATAATATTTATACAACTTGACTAATATGATTGCAGTTATTGTAATCCGAAATTATTAATTATAGCTGATATTATAATCCAACAAAGACAGTGGCTTCGAACCATTTTTGTATCACTGCACTCTTTTTTTGTAGATACCTACCCAGTTAGCATCTGCGTATTATTATTACATTCCACTTTAATAGTTATAATTGGCCGTAGAGGAAGGGGGCAAAGTATTTTTTAACCGGGAAAAAATATTTTTAATATGATTAACTAATGTACAATTGGATAGATTTTTTTTCAAAATTTGATGTAGGAAGGTATGTCTATGTGGTTATTTATTTTTGATAAAATAATTACAACTAAATTGTTTTCGTCAAATACTGGTATTCCCGTTTGTCAAAATTTTTTTTTTGAAAACCTATATAGCGCTTTTTCCTTTTCTGGGATCATAATTATTATTTTCCCAAATACATTATTATCAATACGCACTCAATAAAAATAATGTATTTGGGAAAATAATAATTATGATCCCAGAAAAGGAAAAAGCGATATATAGGTTTTCAACCTATAAGCCCCCCTGCTTAGCCCCCCAGGACATATTTATTTATAAATATAAACATCATATTATATAAAATAACAAATAAACAAAATCTAAACTTCATTTCACATTGTCGTTTTATATATTAATATAATCAATAATTTATTTACCACATTGATTACCTTACCTACTATTATGACAGCATTTTCAAATTAAGAATAAAGTATAATATTTTATTATAATTGGATTTGTGTTGTAAAAAAATTGTTGGGGCACCCCCAGATCTTTGCTTTGGATCCATGCTTGATCGCAACGAGGCACATTCATCGGGATGACAAGTGCGTATATTCATCTACGTGTTAAATAATATTATTATTCCAATCGTCGAAACGAGCTCGATATATTGTACAAATAATTATCGGGATGACAAGTGCGTATTTCGGCTACGCGTTCCAGCTATAATAATAGTGTTATTATAATCAACGTATACGGAAAGTGTAAACGTTTCGAACTACGTTCGAATTTCAAATAAACAAACTCTAATAACAATAATATAAATCGTGTGAAATGTGCTGAATAATAGCATTTTTCTTTACATAATGGTATGAATATTGTAAATCGTATAGGTGCAACTAAGGTGAAAATTCTGGGGATGCAAAACTACTAATTTAAAATAACCCATAGACA